GCATATACATGTACCAGTAATTGCAATATAGACATGGTGCTCTTTCCTAGTGGAGCTAAGATTAGGGAAATATTGTCTTGGTAACTGGTGAACTTGATATGACTCTCAGCTTCTATGCTTTGTGCACTATGCTCCTGGAACTGCATTGGAGAATGGAATCATTTTGTCTAATGAATGCTTCACCAAAGAAAGTCAATGCGTGATATGCATATGAACAAGACAAAATGGAGTTTCTTGTGTTTGTGCTGCTTTTGATGAGTAAAATATGTTTATTCTGACTAGTTTTATATTAGGTGGACAACATTGTCCCTGGGACACTGCCCTCATCAGTAGAAGGGCCTGTTATTCTTGTGGTTAACAGGGCTGATGGAGATGAAGAGGTTGGACAGTTCTTATATCACAATTGTTTACTCAAGTACTTATTGTTGCATCATCAATATAGATCAACTTATCCTCTGAATTATTCAACACGAAACATAAGTTTTGCATCATCTGACAGGTGACAGCTACTGGGAGTAACATAGCTGGGATTGTACTTTTGCAAGAGTTGCCTCATTTATCTCATCTAGGTGTAAGGGCCCGGCAAGTAAGTCTAAGATTCTCCCCTTTTCCTGTCTAGTTCATTCTTTGAGGTGAAATCTCATTTTAATTGCCTAGTGGATTACTTAATGAAAATGCAGGAGAAGGTTGTATTTGTGACGTGCGATGATGATGATAAAGTTACTGATATAAAAGATATGAATGGAAAATATGTCAGGTTAGCTTTAACTTTGTAGTCTCATCACACACAATTTGACTGTATTCATATGTTTTTTTTTTGGCTTATAACATTATCTATCATGCGCATCATTTTGAAATGCATTCTTTTCTTGTCACTGTTTCCTAAGATTTACTTTTTAATCTTCTTATAGGCTGGAGGCATCATCAGAGGGTGTCAAATTGTCTCCATCATCCAAGCAAAAAACTGGTGAATCTCCTGCTAAATCTTCTCCTCCTTTTTCATCCACTGTTGGAAGCACCTCAAACAGTGATTCTTCACAGATGAACATGGAGTCCAGCAAGGTAAAAAAGTTTTCTCCACTAATTTACCATCTGCTATGCCCATGTATTATCTTATAGCTATCAATTTTCTACTAGTATTAAAAGGTGGTGGTCCTTTTAGGTGCTAGCAAGTGGTGGCATTCTGCTACTGTCTGATGCAGATTTACAAAATTCTGGTGCAAAAGCTGCAACCTGTTCTCGTCTAGCTTCCTTGTCAGCAGCTTCTGAGAAAGGTAGCAGTTGTTTTTCACAAAATTTTTTTATGTTTTTCTTCAGATTTAGTATGGTTTAGTTCAAAACTTTGTATCAATACCATTGGCTGCACCTCATGACTTGGGTTGTGTCCTTAGCCCCTTCTTTCTTTTCATATTCATTCTTCCACCCAGCCTTCTTGTCTTTTACTTCAGTGGCCTTCTTTTACTTGTCGTCTAATCTTCCTCCTCTTCTAAATTTTCCCTTTTTTTGAAGCTTTGAGGATCACTTTAACGGAGACTAACTTCAGTAGTCACCAAAAGTTTATTATGGATAGACCAAATTCTCAAGGATAACATGCTCGTGCCAACTTCCATGACAAAAACTTCTATCTTGTGCTCATTATTTAAATTTACAATAGTTCCATGAAAAGGAAAATTAGTTAAAATTAGCACACTGTGCATTAGTTGAGATGGTATAATGAAACAAACTAGATCAGGTTCTCCTTGGTGCCATCTTCAGATTAAAGCAGAGACTTCAGAGATTTGAGATTTGAGGTTTGAGGAAATGTTAGCATGGAGGAGTATGTTTGCAGTCCCTGCACTCCATTTATATTCTCACGGAAAGGATGTAACCTTGCTATAAGTGGATGTCTTAGAAGGTTACTTTCCAGCTTTGCCCCTTTTAAAAAATCGAAGTACCTTATTTGCTGTACGCACAAGAGGACAAGCTGAGCTGTTCCATAGGAGGGGACAATGTTGGTGATTTTGACTAGCTTCCTAAAACTTTGTGTCATTGATGTGGATGACAAAAATAATGGAACATAGACAAGGAAATCACACACTAACAAATGAAAGAACGTTAAACACATGGTGTAGCATGATTTTGTCAGATGGATAAATTGCAGTAGAAAAGGTTAGCTAAAATTGGAATTACAGACTAATCAAAAGAAAACTGTTTGAGCTGGTCTGGGTCCTTTGGTGGCTAGCAATTGTTAAAGGAGTGAGAACTGATGATGTCATACCACCAATACTGGGGCAAATCTGATAATAGTTAGAGCAAGATCCATGGCAACCATTCAAAGAACTAAGGAAAGAGATTGTGGTTTGACAATTGGGCAGCCTTAAGTCAAGAGGACAACCGAAAAATTAGTGATTTGCCAGTTCCTACTAGCTTAAAGAGGTAAAAAAAAGTAAAAATTCCATTCTATCTTGTTACTCATGTATTCTGTTGAATGCTAGAGGTCAAAACATGTAGGTGCCAATATACAGGATGGTATGCATGTGATATGAAGACCTCAAGGTTCTTTCCTCAAGTATATTGTTTAGTGAAGTTTATTCAAATTGGAACCCCTTGTTCCCAAAAAGATGGTAGATATGCTGTGGCTGAGTTGCATTTGACATTGAGTTCTCATGCCAGCATATTGTGGGAAGTTGCATGGTGGTACTTTAGGTTTTCATCTTGAATTCTTATGCTTATATTAGGTGACATTGATGTTTGAATAACATCTCTGAAAATGACTCGGTCATCAGCAGTTTCATAGTGTATCATACTTGAAATACGACGTATGACTGAACTTATGGTTAAAACCAAGTATTAGATACAACATAAGTTTGTTTCTTTTGTTGCTTTAAAGAGACTCCAACAAAAGGCATGATATGCTTCGAAATAGTAGTTTTGAAAGCTGGTTTCAAGGGAATTTTATTTTGCTAATATTCTTGCTGGCAACTCATTTAATGACAGTATACAGTGACCAAGGGGTACCAGCTGCATTTAAAGTTCCTGCTGGAGCAGTTATTCCTTTTGGTTCAATGGAGCTGGCATTAGAACAAAGCAAATCAACTGAAACTTTCAGGTCTCTCTTGGATCAGATAGAAACTGCTGAAATTCATGGTGAACTCGACAAACTCTGCAATGAACTACAAGAGCTGATTGCATCCCAGCAGCTCCCGAAAGGCATAGTGGAAAGCTTAGGAAAAGTATTTTCAGCCAATGCACGATTATATGTGCGCTCCAGTGCCAATGTTGAGGACTTGGCTGGAATGTCTGCTGCTGGACTTTATGAGTCAATTCCAAATGTCGGTCTTTCAAATCCACTCATTTTTGGACGTGCCATTAGCCATGTTTGGGCCTCATTATACACCCGTAGAGCAGTTTTGAGCCGTAAAGCTGCTGGTGTGCCTCAGAAGCAAGCAGCGATGGCTGTATTGGTGCAAGAAATGCTTTCACCAGTCTTGTCATTTGTGCTCCACACGCTGAACCCTACAGATCTTGATCGTAATTCGGTTGCAGCTGAGATTGCTCCTGGGCTTGGGGAAACTCTAGCATCTGGTACACGAGGCACTCCATGGCGTTTGTCTTCTGGGAAATTTGATGCCCTAGTATGCACATTAGCATTTGCTAACTTTAGTGAGGAATTGGTGGTTCGTGGTGCTGGGCCAGCTGAGGGAGAAGTTTTCCATTTAACTGTAGATTACAGCCAAAAACCACTGACAGTTGATGCAGTTTTTAGGCAACAGCTTGGTCAGCAGCTTGGAGCTGTTGGGTATTTCCTGGAGCGCAAATTTGGTTGCCCCCAGGATGTTGAAGGATGTTTACTGGGAACGGACATATACGTTGTGCAGACACGTCCTCAGCCCCAGTAAAAGCTAAACCTGTTACTTCCTGAGGGCTGTTGGAAATAAGTTGATACATAACCAAGTTATTACTCATGAGCTGGAGAGCCATTAACCCTCAGGTCTTTCCCAAGAGTTCAGTTGTCATAAAGCTCCTCAGGACATGGAAGTTTTTGGGAGAAAGGAACCATGAAAATGCTTCACACAGATTGGAGCTGTTATATACTGATTCTTGCAGAGGTGCAAAGCCTGTTAAAATGGTCATTCATCCTGAATAACGAAGCCAATGGCCAGATCCCTTCTCCATAGTGCTAGAGATTACCATTCTAAAAATTTCCCTTCCCCTGCCAAGGGAGAACCAAAATATATATATATATATTGTAGCCATCCAGAATAATGGGGGAAGCTTTTGTCTTCCCTTCTAAGACGTACTTAGTTTCTCAAATGCTGTGCAATGTCTTTGTCCATGAGCAGTTGTCAGTAGTGACAGCAGAGAATCAAGCAGTGTGGCTAGATTGCGTTTCACCTTTTACTGTCTGTTTATCCTAATAATATGTTCAATGAGTGCGTGTACGTGCATGGTTCCTCAAGCATTCTTCGTTTCTTGAAAGCAGAGGGTAGAGCTTTTGAAAAGCATCCAAGAAACCAGATGCTACAGACTGAGAAACCAGATATTCTGGTTTTGAGCTCTTGGATAGCTCACTTTTCCATACATTGTAATGGCCAACCAATGCCTTGTAAACCACCCCTAATAGAATTTCGAACTTTTTAATCATTCTCCAAACTTAGTCAGAGCTGTGGAATATTTAGAGGACATAAATGTTGGAAGCCAATGTTTAGTCCCATGTTTTCACGGATTTTTCTTCCAAATATTTGCTACACCACAAATGATGAGATCAATTGGAAGACTATAGAGAAGAGGTATGCATAAATATTGACCAAATGTATCAAAATATAACAGATAATTTGCTTATACTGTCTTGCTATGGAATCCATATATATGTTTATTCAAGGGGAAAAAAAAAACTCGAGAACTAGATGCACCAAGTGAGACTCCTTTTTCACATATACTTGAGCAGACTCCCTCTTTTAAGTCTTATCCCCATCAAAACCCTACGACTCCTTTTTGCTTAACCTCCCATTTAAATCAAGAAATGTATGGAGTACAATCTTCCCAATTTAGCATATTCCGTGTAGCAACCGTACGAGGAGGAAAATAATAACACGAAACCACTATACGAGGAGGAAAATAATACCACATAACCACCACCTTTTTCCAAATACAAGAACCTTTATATATCATTCTCTTTTCCCCTTATTATACCAGCTTCCTACTCCTCCGCCTAACCCCTCTCTCCTCTTCTTTCTTCTCCTTGATGCCCTTTGTCTCCCTTGTTTCTTGCCAATTTTGCGAGCCAAAATTTGTGATCATTAAATAACAAGAATGTCTGCCTCTGTTGAAACGCTTTCTCCATCCAAGCACAGCGCTAGAGTTAGTCCTTTCAATGAGAATGATGACCAAAGCAGGATGAAGAAGGGCATAAAAAATGAGCAGATCAAGCCAGAAGAAGCAGAGGAGAATGGAAGCAAAAGTGACGTTGATATTGATGAGCGAGAGAAAGATGATCTTTCATTAAAATGTAATAAAGCATTACACGTTTCTTCCTCGATGCCGCTAGAGAAGGACAAGGTTTAACTCATTCAACCCTTCATCCTAAATCTCTCCCTCTATTGTTCTCCAAATTCTTTGGTTGTTTTGATTATTTGACGTAAGAAAATTTTTCTGATCGGTTCAAATGAATCTTCTGTTATTGAAGAATAATGGGAGACATCTGCAGTCGTGGAAAGAACATCATCTTGCACAGATAAACATTCGTGGAGGTATTTCATCCACATATTTTCATCCTTACAATGTTTACTCATGTATTATCAGGATTCATTCTGCAATCTCAATAACATCCAGATTCCTTTTACCATAAGCAATTACATTGGTGGCAATCTTGCAACCCGAGGAAAATCTCAAAGTCTACAGTTACAGTGCACCTATGTGTATCTTGAAAGTTTGGTTAAACAACTAATATGATGGGCTCAATTTACTGTGTTAATTGCAACGTATAGTGTAAAGTTTAATAATCATAGCAACCATATTTTTTATTTCATCTAGTCATTTACTTGAGTTTTAAGGAAGCATTGATGCTATATTGAGGTTACTTTTACGTGCATAAACTACAATTCTTGAGAAACTTATCACCTCCAGTTTCAACCAGATACAAAAGTAAGTCGAGTTCCAGAGGTGGAAATAAAAAGCATTTCGATCCTGTGCCGGGGTCGGCCAGAAATTGTCTTGTCAGAGCCATTTGCTTCGAGTCCTAAGGCCTTGCTCTTCATCCTAAAAGAAGGAAGCCGATACCGCCTCAGATTCAACTTCATTGTTTCTAACAAGATTGTTACTGGCCTTAGATATGTAAATACTCTATGGAAAGCCGGAGTGAGAGGTATAACAAATCTTCATCCTAAGAGGATTGATTAAAATTCCTCGAAGTGTTCATAATGTTATTGTGCTAATCAGTCTACAAATACTTCTTCTTGCAGTTGACAAGTCTGAAGTTTGTTTAGGATCATTCAGCCCAAAAGAAGAGCCTTATTCCTATGAATTAGAAGAAGATACAGCACCTTCCGGTATCTTTGTAAGGGGCTTGTATTGTGCAAGAACCAAGGTAATTCAATTTATGTATGGACTCAGAAACCTTTAATGAGACCCAAGAATTACATGCAAGCATGCTCTAGATTATTTTCTTATATAACTGGGATGCGAAATTCGAACATTGTACATTTATTGTTCATGTCAATATCCTCTTCAATTTGATAAAATTGAAGTCAGAAATCTGCAATCTAAAATTTGAATTCATTAAATTATTGAATTGTTAAGTATTAAATCTAATACATTTGAGTGCATATTACATGATAAGTGAATAAGTTATCACTTAATTTTCGGAGCAAGTTTTGCCTAGGAAATTCAGTGCCAATTAATTAATTCAGATATTCAATTTTGGTTATCTAACGGTCTGAATATGTTAAAATCTGAATTCATTAAGTTTAAGTGCTGAATTGGCTTATCAAATAGAACCTAAATGAGATGGCAGTTGTTTCAGGCATTTATTGTTCATGTCAATATCCTTTCCGGTCTAAATGAGGTGCCTCTTGTTTCAGGTTATTGATGATCATCAGAATTGCTATTTGGATATCAAATACTACTTCGAAATTCAGAAGACTTGGCCCTCAGATTCTTGAGGTTATCTGCTCTTGCACGTATGATGTGCTGCATGGTAAAGAACAAAATCAACCCCAGATGATTAGTTGACTTGCACGAGGCCTGTTTCTTCCAATTTTGGAAGATACCATTGTCCTCTACGAGAATGGTCAATAAAGATGCAATCCACATTCTGAATGAAGGATGAAGGACCATCAAGCTCTGGCTAACATGTAATAAAATTCATGACATGATATTGCTTTTCATTAGCAAGATAATCCAATTTTAGTAGAATACTACCATAAGATCCCGAGATCAATAGTTTTTTCCCTCCTGCAGAATCATTCTGCCATGTATATAATTTAACCTTCTTCAACTCAATCGCAAGGAAATGTTACACTGGAGAGATTTTTTGTTTTTATTTTCGTTAATAAAAGACCATTAATCTTGGAGAAAGAAAACAGGAGAATGTGATAAGCAGGGAACAATCTGTCCTACAACCAGAATCAAAGTTTATTTGGATACTGATCACCTGCAGAAAGATCAACTGCTCCTGTCTATGATCACTATAGCTAATCAAGCGGCAAGTTTCCACTGGATCTAAACTGCTTTATGCTGAAACTGGCATGACCAAACTGAGAGGACTAAGACATGACTTGATGGATCTCTGTTTGCAGAGACACCGAACCCAGGATCCATCAGCCGGATTCATTAGAACATATTCCTTTCCTGTGAAACTTTACTCCCAAGCGTCACAAAGGCAAGGTATCTTGACAATAACTTACAAAAGGTGACTAAAAACTCAAACATTACATTACAGTTCTGGTCCACAGCAATCAGAACGTTAATATCAAGATCTTAAATAAAATAATGAGCAACTCTTGCACCAAATACTTCAAAATTAAGATGTTCTTGGAATTTAGTACAGCTTTAGCTCCAAGCTATCCGAAATCGGGTCTCGCCCTTCAGGTCTAATAACTCCAGCCCTCCCCTTCTTTGAAACAAAAGAGCTTATACTTGAATATGCAAGAAAAATATGAATATCATCGGTTGAGCAACACGCACTCAATAAGTAGCATTTATGTCCATTATCGGTTCATGCAAATGACACATGCATGTGTAGCAATTTTGGAAACTTTATAAACTCGCATGTAATTCCTGCAGATCATGAGAGAGAAGACTATTTACCACTCATAATTAAGCACAAAATAGTAGATATTAGTCACTTTTCTTCGTGAAGAATAGAGAACATGGATGCTACAGGATGATCCAGTAAACCGTCAGAAATTGTTTTTTTTTTAAGAGGTTGTACAGATTACAATACTTGAAGATAGAAATTGTCATGGTGAAAGCATAAGAAGCACCATGTACTATCACTCGGTCATTTCACATCCCTGACTATGGAAACTAGCTCAATGACAGGGTACATCTTAGAATAAGACAGCGAGGAAAAAAGAACAGAGCCCACCAATGACTAAGATTTGTGAGTCTGAACTAGCTGTCCTTTGGAGCAGCCATCAACTGAAGCCTTTCCTCTGGCTCGTGATTTGCCCTAGACGACCTCTCCTCCCTTAGCAGAGACTGTAAGTCACTACCATTTGCCAAACTGTTGAATTCAACTGCTTTGGAAGGCAAAGTGGGGTAACGACGTTGGCAGAATGTCATCAATCTTTTAATAGACTGCAAATACTTGCGTGTTGTTTCATCATTCATGATATGGGCCACACTATTGGTATAAATTTTCTCACGAGCTGAACGTTCATGAATACCAACCATAGTAACACCAATAGGCCAGGGTGCATTACCAATGGCCAATTTAATGTAGTGATCCATTGCAGCTAGATAGTCTCGCATCATGCAACAGTCAACAACCAGCATCAATGCTTGTTTTATATCATCAGGAAGAACCTATATCCATAAATGTTTGATGATCACAATATAGTAAAAGAGCACTCATCAAGGAATATTGAAAGAACATAGAACATTTTTAACTAATTTTCACCCGATGGATTGGAAATTTCCAGTAACAATTACTCCATACACAGACTGCAAATGCCATCCCACTGGATAGAGGGATTACACACACATTAGTAAGGCTAGAATTTATCAAATAAAATCATAAACAATATACATGGTCATGCCAAACTAAATTTTAAAATACTAATACAGGGACGTGCTGTATACTTTCTGTTTCACCAACCTTATCCCCTTCCCCACCAGCCAAAACAAGAACAGTCATGCAAGAATTTCTGAGAAAGAAATAAGGACAAAACAAGAATTTAATGCATGAAAACAGCAGCCCAGAAAGGCAAAGGGCTAGAATGGCAAACTAAAAAGGCAGAGGCTCTGAAGAGATTGATCTAGCACTATAACATTCAATATGTTCAAAAGTGCAGCTGACCTATTGCACCCACACTGAGTTTCTCTGCTTTTAAGAAAACCTGTTGATCATTCTCAACTGAGTCCTGTTAATCAAAATTTGACATGTTAATTACTAGTCACAACATAAGTGATAACAGACCTTTGTCTTTTACAGACAATGGCAGATATATTGTTTTTCTACATCATTTACTCTTACAATGGATTTGAATTTTCAGTCAGTATGGTAAGCACTAGAGGCAGGCAAGTGACTAATCGAATCAAGCCCATGAAGTAAACAATCATCAGCAACTAATAACTACTAAGCACGTTCTAAGACAGCTTTGTCAAGATGGTTGGAAAAGCTTGCCATCAAAGAACTAGTTAGTTTATCATGCATCTTAAGTTATCCATCATATAAAACACAAAGACAACCAAAAGAAATCTCCACAGAATAACAAAACATATCAGCCTCTCTTGGCTCCATACAAGAGTGCTCAAGGCAGTTGTCTCTTAATGTAAGCTGACTGGGGTTTGTTAATATTAAAGAGTGTATCCTTCCAATGGTTTAATCAAGCAAACAATAGAAGACGAAAAGGCACAAAACGTAGGTTCCAAACATAACAACACCTGCAAAGCTTCAACTACAAAATACACAATATAATTACTCCAATGAACAAATTGAACAAATATTGACAGTGTAAAGGAAGAAAAGCATCAAACTCACCTTTTTTCTGCAAAACTTGAACAACGGATTCAAGTACCTAGCACACTGCTTAAAAGTAGCAACCATTGACTTGCCCTTGGCCGTCCTGTTCTCTGCCTCGCCCATCTCATCAAGCTCCTGGTTCCACTCATTCAGCAACTTCTTGAAAAACACCAAAATCTTATCCTCCTCGCACAATTCCTCAAAATTTGTCTTCATTCTCTTCAAATCCTTGTCATGATCTGCACCAGAGGACGCCTCATCCCCGCTCAAATCGTCATCTCCTCCTCCCCCTTCCTTGTCCTCATTCGCATCCTGAGTCGCCTTCCTCTTCCTATCACTCAGAATTCCGTTCCTCTGCCGCTTCTTCAACTCGACAATATCACGCAAGAAGTCATTTGTCTGCCCATCCGTCATATCAGTATCATCAACTTCAAATAATCCTGCTTTCAGCACAAATCTTAACCGATCAAGCCGCGCCTCATCATCCTCACCAAAGAGAGTCACGGGTTGCTTGAGAAAACGAAGGCGGCGGATAACCTCTTGCCTCGGGAGATTGAGCTCGTCGATTTTTTGCTCGTCAGTTAAGGCTTTAGAGGATTCAGGGATCTCGGATTTTGTGTCACGGTTTGAGGATGAGCTGTTGGATTTGGAGCCCTCATTTTGCTCCTTCTGCTGCTTCTGACGGAGGGCTTTAGCTTCTGCTTCGCGCTTCTCTTCCTCTCGGAGTTTCTGCAGCCGTTTTTGTTCTATTTCTGATCTCTTAAAGAACTTTTTCCCGCCTGTTTCTTCAGCTAAACTCTGGCGCTTTTTCAGTAACTCCTGCTTCAGTATGTCCATTAATTACCCCCCAAACCAAATGCTTTTAGGCTGCTTTTGATATCATGAAAATGGCATTGAATTAGAACACAATACCCAAAAAAAATTTTATTTCCTTCTGTTATTGCCAACACAAATATAGATAAAAAAAACATTCTTGGTAACAAATATGGAATTGAATCTATAAGCCCATTAGCAGTCTCTCCATTGATGAAAAAGGTATCCATAAACAGTTCAGTTCACAAGTATCAAAGTGACAATCATGGTTCAAAAGAGCGGCCGAGTCGACCGAGTCAACCCGTATCGACTCATGAACGGAGGCTTACACCATGATTTTAAGAGGCTTTTAGGGTATAAAATTTTTAAAAATACTCCATAATTAAAAAAATAAAAACTTACCCGTGTCCAATTGATGAGAAATTGCACAGGAAGACAGAAATAACAGATCAATCTTCAACCCAAATTTCTCTTTTTGAAGAATCTTTCACTAAACAGCAAGTGGGTGGCAGAGATTCAAGAGAGGGAGAAGGAAAAATAAAAGGGCGAGGCGAAGAGACGAGGAGGCTTTCATATACTAATATATGCAGGCGTGGCGGTGAAATTTGGAGAGGAAAGGGTGGAAAGAAGAATGAAAGGCGGACTCGGGGAAGGAGAAGGCTACGGAGGAAAAGAAGCAATCGCCCCCTTTATTGAAATATCACCTGGCGCCTTTAAACTTTGGAAAATCTCATTTGGCTCCTGGATTTTTTTTTTTCTAACTTTTACAACCCACTTCAAAATATAATAGTGTTTTTTTTTTTGAAAAAAAAGGAGAGAATATAATCTCATTGTAAATTTACCCTTTTCTTGTAGACTTTTAATTGTCACAGCACATTAATTTTATTTCTTAGTTTTTATAAACTTGGTCGATGTGGTTCTTTAATTGAAATTAAAAAGTTGATAATAGAATTGAAAGAACTTTTAGTAGTTTTTATTTAATCAGTTTGAACAAGAAATATTAAGATATTTAAAATTCTAAATAAATTATAATAATCGTAAAAATAACTTATTTTTTATAATAATAATAATAACTTTTGTACCAACTTGAGAACACCACAAACAAGTTTATATATACCTAATTTTTAGTATTTTTTTAGTGAAAATTATGAACAACAGATATTTCGCATGTTTATCAGAAAAATAATTTCTTCTCTAACAAAAAACATAAAAAATTTTTTAATCAGTTGATAATATTAGATTAGCACTTTGATTAGAAAAAACGACATAATAACTAGAAGTGGCAAAATGGATTCATATCCACCAATCCATCCATATAAACCAACCTTAAATGGATTTGGATGATCCATATAAATTCAATGGTTTTAAATGGATAACCATTTAAATTCAATTATGTTGGTGGATTTAAATGGATTATCCATCTTATCCATATACATCCATTTAACTTAAAAAATAGAAAACACATTTATAAAAATGTGAGATAAAATCTTGTGGGACCATCTATTCTTTTCTTCATAACTTCCTCATATGTCAAATTAATTTTGTGGGACCACCTATTCTTTCCTTCATA